CAGCAGAAGGTGAGCCGCAACGAGGACCTCCTGGCCCCGGCACAGGCAGCGAGCCCTGCAGGTGAGTGGTCCTCAGGGCTGGGTGGTCTTCCTGGGCTGGCAGCAGTGGTGGGTTGTGTCTGATCCGGCCGACTGCCTCAGCCTCCCAGGTACCGCGCTACGTCCGAGTCAACACCCTGAAGACTTGTGTGGACGATGTGATTGACTTCTTCAAGCGTCAAGGCTACTCCTACCTGGGCAAAGCAGCCAGGTAGGCATTTCTTTTTGCCATCCTACCTTATCTGGGACATCAGCGAGCTGCAAGGGCTTGGGATGATGTCCTGTGGGCTGAAGGTTGTTGGTCTTGTGGCTCACGGTGTCCAGGTTGGGGTCTCCATCACTTCCCGCTCATACTTTCTGCCTCTCCGGGTGCTGCCTGGTGCCAAAGTGGAGAGGAGGCATGGAGTGAAGGGGGTTCTCAGCCTGAGCTCTAGTGTGGGCATGGTGAAGCAGGACTGTGTTCATCTTCCCTGTGTATCGTGGGCAGCATGGACGAACTGAGGGCCCTCTCCGGGAAGAAATTCTTGTTGGATCTTCATCTCCCAGAGCTGCTGGTTTTCCCTCCCCAGACGGACTTCCATGACAACCTGCTGTACACTTCAGGACACATAATTCTGCAGGACAAGGTGGGGAAGCAGGGGAGCAGGAGACTGCAGGGGTGGGAAATCCACTGCCATGGGTGGAGGGTTGGCCCCTCCCTCCATGCCAAGGGCTTGGCTTGGGCCGGCTTCGCTGCAGCACTTGAAGTCTAAGCAGAAATTGTGAATGCAGCCTGCAGATGTGGGGTTCCCCTGTGGCTTTGCTTCAGTATCCTGTAGGTACGGGATGAATTGCTCTGAACTGGTCTGTAAAAACACCCCGTAGGGAGCTAGGGACCAGCAGCTGGGAGGAGCGTGGGGCTGTGGGCTCGCCAGAGGCTTCCAGTGGTGGTGGACTTGGCGCTGTGTTGCTCTGGCTGCCTGCGAGCCTGCA